CACGCATTAATGCTTCTATACACTTTGTTTTTTTTTTTTGTTACAAACACTTAAATCTAAATTAGCTTACCACACAAGAACAGCAAATGTAAAAATGAGACCATTGAAAAAAATAAAATAAATAAGAACTGTAAAAATAGATGGTGTTCTTGTGCTTCTTTACAGCATTTTTCAGTACAAACTTATAACTGTATATTGTAATTATATATTGGGTATATGGTTTCTTAACAGTTGTGCAGGCTTCTTTTTCATATTGAGACTTAAGCCCCATGTACACGAGACATTTCTGAACAATGGAAACTGACTGCTGGAAAACGTAGGTAAAAAAAAGTCTGTTTAGCTGCGTTTGCATAACGTGTTTATGCGCGTTTATGTGTGTGTTTGCGGTTAGAAGCGTTTTTTTAAAGATAAGCACAGGAGAACCTCCCAAATGCCCAGAATGCACTGAAAAGTGGTAAATTGTTAGCTATTTCAGACTGTTTCAGAAAAATACAGAGAGTAGAAGCAGAGACAGCAGTATGTATTGAGATTAGCTTAGGTGTCAGTTGCTCATTAACATTTCTTTTATTTCCAAGGGTGGGAAGGTGACTGCTGGAGTGAGTTATTAAGGCCACCTGGCAGGGGGTCTGCATGAGGAATTTGAGGTGTGAATGGTCATTAACATATCTTTTGTTTCCAAGCCTGGGAGAGGTCTGAGGTGTGAATTGGTCATTACAATGTGTGACAAGCTTGGTAGGAACATCCTGTGTTCAGTGTTTTGTCCATCTGAGTATCTTGAAAATGCTTTGCATGCATTTTTCATGATGAAAAAAGGCTCTGGACAGCATCGGGAACTGAAAGAGTTAAAAACAAATTTCAGATGCAAACGCTTATAAACACGATTTGCCGCATCTACAAGCGTTTTTTTCGTTTGAAAATCGAATGCTGAACGCAGGTTTTCTGCGTTAAAAAAACAACTGTAAACTCAAATGCCTGTAAACGACTGTAAACGAAGATGTGTACATGGGCACATAGGAAAACATTAGGGAGAGTTCAGGGGCTGCTGAAAAAAACACTGAACAGTTCCTAAACGTGAGTTTATCAGCTGCAGTGTACATGAGCCCTTAGGCCTCATGCACAATGAGAAGCTCAAAAACAGTTTTTGAGCTACAGGAGTTTTCATAATCAAAAATGCAGTAAAAAGCCACATTTTTGCATGCGTGTTAATGGGGTGTTTCCCCCGTCTGGGAGTAATTCTAATAGCCAGAATGGCCTTTATAATGCATTAACAAGTGCTAATGCATTTTTTCACTTTTAGGGTTTTTTGTATGCACCTCTCCTGAATAACAAGTGATGATTTTTTTTTCTGCCTGTAAACACCCCTGCTACTAAACTCCTGAAAACGCCTATAGTGTGCATGTACACATATGCTAACATGGAGGGGAGTTAACAGGCAGAGAAAATAAAACCTCAAATCAGCACAAACAGCTATAAGAGCAGCTTCTTTGAGCTGCAGTGTGCATGAGGTCTTAGACCTTTTATGTATGAAACTAATCTGACCTGGACCTTCAAAGTGACTGTTGCAGTCACAGACTGAATGAAACTCTGAACAACAAAACAAAACTGGGTTCCACATTAACCACTTGCCTACAGGGCACTTTTACCCTTCCTGCCTAGTCCAATTTTTTAGCTTTTAGTGCTGTTGCACTTTGAATGACAATTGCTCGGTCATGCAACAGTGTACCCATATTAAATTTTTATAATTCGTTTTACACAAGTATAACTTTCCTTTGATGGTATTTAATTGCCCACTGGGGCTTTCATTTTTGCACTATAAACAACCAAAAAAAAAAGAGCAAATAATTTGAAAAAAAAAAAGTTTTCTTTCCTTCTATTATAATAATTTGCAAACCGGTAATTTTTCTCCTTCACTGATGTGCGTTAATGAGACTGCACTGATAGGCACTGATAGGCAGCACTGATGGGCACTGATGAGTTGGCATGGATAGGCAGCACTGATGAGGTGCACTGGTGGGCATTGATAAGGTGGAACTGTTGCTGCTGCACTGATATGCAGCAATGATGGACACTGATGAGCGGCACTGATGGGCACTGACAGGCGGCCCCTGATTAACAGCACTGACTGACGACACTGATGGGCGACATTGCTGGATGGCATTGATAGGCGCAACTGCTAGGTGACACTGCTGGGTGGCACTGCTGGGCACTGATGGGTGGCACTGCTGGGCACTTTTGGGGCTGCACTGATAATCAGGGCACTGACTATCAGTGCAGATGTCCTCTGTGACACTTGCCGGTTATTGGCAGTACTTTTGTCACACTGTGACCTATACCAGGCAACTGTATTGACTTTGTCATCAGCTGTTGCATTGGACACAACTGGTCACGTGGTAAAAGGCTGCTGTGGTTGGCCTTTTAACTAGTTATGTGATGAGCTGTGTCTGTATGACAGCACCGGGTGCGTGCCACTGTGGGCGCGTTCAGAGAGGAAATCATATGACGTCCTCCCAGAACTGGACAACCGCGTCATTCGGCTATAGCTCAGTTGTAGAGTGGTTAAATAAAGAATATTAAGAAAGTAAGAGTATGAAAACTATTGTGCTAGGGAAGAAGAATGATTTTCCATTCTTGATATTTTATTTGTTTTTAACCATACTACAAACATAGTAAGCAATTTTTTTGTCTTATGGAATAATACTATTGGCTAGGAATTCTCTTATGAGTAAGTTGTGGAAACCCCCATGCAAACCCCCATACAATCATTGTATATATTTTCTGAAAGCAGATGCCCTGTGGGATAGAAATAGTGACATTTGCAATTTTTGTATGTTACACAATATTAACTGTTTATTGGACACATATTTTCAGGAAAAATATACTAAAATGAATTTTAGCACAAAAAACAGAATATAATATCCACTTTTAAATGTATAAAAGAAGGGGTTTATTAAGGCCCTATTAATATAACTCTTACTGAGACTCCAGGGCTAACAAGCCACCTATGTGATAGCATGGGCAATGGGAAGGTGACAGATCCTCTTTATGAAGACAATGGGGACCTATTATACTTTATACTATTGAAATCTTTTACAACAAATGTGTTTCAATTTTTTTTTACCCTTTGGCAACTTTTATCTTTAGGGACTTGTATATTTTTTTGATGAAATACAATGTTTAAAAATATCTATTTGAATTATTCATCAGGTGTTTTTTCACTGTCTGTCTTTGCCATCTGTTGAGTGATCTGGATTAAACTGTACAAGAGGAGGTGCTTTTATGACAATTAGACCTCATTTTCCTTTTTAATCTCTGACTGCAATATGCAAGGTGATGGTTTTAAAAACAATATTTTTAAAAATAAGGTTAAATTTCAAAGCCTTGATTTCAAAGGTATGTTTTAAACTTGAAAACCTAAAATCATAAGGCCAGCTTTTATTTGATATTTACAAATTTAAAAAAAATCAAATATAGGACATTAAAAACCTGTTCAGACAGTTATTTCTGACAATCCATTACAAGTGTATTAATGTTTCTGACTTCCATTTGCATAACACATTATAATACTAAAAAACATAACACTTTTTAATACTTATATGCGCACATTAAAAAATGAACAGGAAAATGTGCAGTAGAAAATAGTTTGAAACGTTTGAAACTTTTTTTGTTACTGATGAATTGTGAACTGGACAGTGGCATCATGTGTTACACTCAAAGCACAGAGCACTTATACCACTTATACTGCTAATTTGTAGTTCCCCCTGCAAATTAGTAGTATAAGTGCTCCCCTCCCCTTTCTAACTTTTTTGGACTGTTGATCCCCTATGTCATCAGTGGCTTCTTGAATCATGGAGCCAATGTATAAGATGGTGTGTAAAGCTGAATATTCTTCATACTAAGCCAGATTGTATCAAGTGGATGACTTGAATAACTCTTACCATAAGACGCACCTAGGTTTTAGAGGAGGAAAACAAGAAAAAAAAATTCTTAACCAATGGACTGCAGATATAGTACAGGAAATGACCAGAGACAGTGGATGTACTACAAGAGATGACCAGAGACTGCAGACACAGTACAGGAGATGACCAGACTGCAAACATACCACAGGGGATGACGAGAGACTGCGGACATAGTACAGGAGATGACCAGACACTGCGAACATAGTACAGGAGATGACCAGAGACTGAGGACACAGTACAGGATATGACCAGAGACTGCAGACATAGTACAGGAGATGACCAGACTGCGAACATACTACAGAAGATGACAAGAGACTGAGGACACAGTACAGGGGATGACCAGAGACTGCGGACATAGTACAGGACATGACCAGAGACTGCAGACACAGTACAGGAGATGACCAGAGGCTACGGACACAGTAGTACAGGAGATGACCAGAGACTGCGAACATAGCACAGGAGATGACCAGTGACTGTGGACATAGTACAGGAGATGATCAGAGACTGCAGACATAGTACAGGGGATGACAAGAGACTGCGGACATAGTACAGGAGATGACCAGAGACTGTGGACATAGTACAGGGGATGACCAGAGACTGCAGACATAGTACAGCATATGACCAGAGACTGCAGACATAGCACAGGAGATGACCAGAGACTGCATACATAGTACAGGAGATGACCAGAGACTGCGGACATAGTACAGGAGATGATCAGAGACTGCAGACATAGTACAGGGGATGACAAGAGACTGCGGACATAGTACAGGAGATGACCAGAGACTGTGGACATAGTACAGGGGATGACCAGAGACTGCAGACATAGTACAGCATATGACCAGAGACTGCAGACATAGCACAGGAGATGACCAGAGACTGCATACATAGTACAGGGAGATGACCAGAGACTGTACATAGTACAGGAGATGACCAGAGACTGCGGACAAAGCACAGGAGATGACCAGAGACTGCGGACATAGTACAGGAGATGACCAGAGACTGCGAACATAGCACAGGAGATGACCAGTGACTGTGGACATAGTACAGGAGATGATCAGAGACTGCAGACATAGTACAGGGGATGACAAGAGACTGCGGACATAGTACAGGAGATGACCAGAGACTGTGGACATAGTACAGGGGATGACCAGAGACTGCAGACATAGTACAGCATATGACCAGAGACTGCAGACATAGCACAGGAGATGACCAGAGACTGCATACATAGTACAGGAGATGACCAGAGACTGCGGACAAAGCACAGGAGATGACCAGAGACTGCGGACATAGTAGAGGGGATGAGCAGAGACTGCGGACATAGTACAGGAGATGACCAGAGACTGCGGACAAAGTACAGGAGATGACCAGAGACTGCGGACAAAGTACAGGAGATGACCAGAGACTGCGGACAAAATACAGGAGATGACCAGAGACTGAGGACATAGTACAGGGTTACCAGAGACTGCAGACAAAGTACAGGAGATGACCAGAGCCTGCAGACATAGTACAGGAGATGACCAGAGACTGCAGACATATAGCACAGGGTTACCAGAGATTGCAGACAAAGTACAGGAGATGACCAGAGACTGCAGACCTTTGGGGAGGGGGGGAGCATGTACCCGAATTTGACAGGTTCCCACTTCCGCTGCAATCACCTAGGCGATTGGAAGTGGAAGTTGTCCACACCCTCCCTCACCGTATTTTTCTGGAACACGTGACAGGTCCCAGAAGACTACGGGCCATTCACAAAGCTCAGCGCTTCTTGTGCATGCGCAGTGGGCACCCGGCAGTGAAGCCGCAAGCTGTCACAGCCGGGTGCCCACACTAAAGATACCGGTGCCGGGGAGAGAAGATGGCCCATGAGAAACCAGCGGTGGACCGAGAGAAAGTGGCTGTAGTTTAAAAGCCAGCAGCTACAGTTTTTGTAGCTGCTGATTTATTTTTTTTTAGCTGGAACTCCACTTTAAGGGGCAGCTGCTTTGGGCCCAGCCTGGTGCTGCCACAGAAGAGTTCGAGTATATATATATATATATATATATATATATATATATATATAACCAACAGTTATAGTGGTAACTGGTTTTCACGGTGTCTGTGACATTCTGCTTAGCTGTGATTAGATGTAAATAAAGACATAGACTTGGTTGCTGACCAAAATCTACGCAAAAAAAGGAGGAGATGCTTTGATAATCTTTGCAGGGCATTTATATCAGTAGAAAATTAAAGTGTCTCCGCCCAGGTTGGAAATCCATACAAATGCTTTGTTTATTAGGTGCCACATCCTATAAAAATATAACACAGGGTTTACAGGTCCAATACTGTAAGTTTATGCAAAGCTATGCCACATCTAGTAAACAAAGATTTTTAGGCTCAATTCCAGACGTGGAACTACCCATTTTTTGCAATCCCCTTTGGAGCACCCTCTTTTTAAAATGTGTATATATACCTTTTTTTCCTAAGGTCTTTGGTTTGGTCACATTGGGGTTTATTTACTAAGCTGGAGAGTCCAAAATCAGACTCCCTTCTGCATAGAAACCAATCAGCTTCTAACCTCAGCTTGTTCAATGAAGCTTTGGCAATGAAACCTGGAAGCTGATTGGTTTCTATGCAGAAGGGAGTCTGATTTTGGACTCTCCAGCTTTAGTAAATAAACCCCATTATGTCATGTCCCTTTATTTTCATTTTCTACTGTATGCCCAGAACAACTTGGTTATGCACCCCTAGGGAACATGTCCATGATGCCCTCCACTCACAGGTAGAGAACTGAATAATACCCTGTATTGCAGATTGGTGAGTGTGCAGGAGATGGAACTGGATAGAGGACTGCAGTGGGAGCTACATGAAATCCCATGATAATCCCCCACAATGCTGCCATAACCAGATTAAATCTATCAATGTTTATAACACAACCATGATCTACAGAATCCTCTCTACCTGGCCCAAGATGTTGACGTTGCATTATTTTAGAGTAAATGTTTAATTTTTTTTTGTCTTGACCTTCATTAACATCAACTTCTCTCCAGGAAGTTAATAGTGCTAATAGTGCTAATGCTAATAACTGGCAAACAAACTTAAAACTACTGTTAGTCAAACAATTTTTGCTTATAAAAGAGCCTTTCAACCTGTGTGTTGTGGTGCAAGTAAGCATCATGGCAGCAACCTTCTGTCTGAGCTCCACCTTGCATGCAGGCTTTGTCAGTGAGTTGTACTGCATTCAATCTTTTGCATAAAATGGCTACCAAAGTCCAAAATAAAAATCCTAATAAGTATTACCTGTTTATGTCTGACACCAAATTACTACTTATCCATTATATTATAATTATTCTACTTATTTATTAAAATATTGCTTTGATGAGATAGGTAGAGTGCAAGTGGCTGTTGCAAGGTCAAATTTAGCTACTTTCACTTTTTGCATTTAAATACATTTAATTATGTATTCCTAATTGCAGAGCTGTATTAATGTGTGGCTTTAATATCTGTTTGGAGCGTTAAATTGTTTGTAAACCATAGCAATGATTATCTCTTATTTGCTGCCCTATGGTTTGCTAATCATACCATGAAAGTGTTTTTTTATGTGTTCAATAACTGCAAAAATACTTGTGGGTTTTGCCAGAAGTCTTGTGAGCTGATAAATGTACTATGCTCTCTGTCTGTGCACAAGGAGGGGAGATGAGATGGGAAGGCTGTGTTCTTTGTAATCCATCCGAAATGAAGTAGGAAGGGCTGACACCATGTGCTTAGGAATTCTGAGCTGTGTTGTCATGTTGAAAAGAAGCACTGAATATTTCTGGCATATCAACAATTATTTTTCTGGTCTTGCAGCAGGTTTAATGGAATAAAACATGGGGAATGTATATAAATTCCAGAGGTGTACCAATTATTTTTTGCTTTAGCCTTGAATTACACTTTAATTTTGGGCCAAAATATTTGCTTTTGAGAAATATTACATAATCTCATTAATTCTAACTACATCAAAAAGGTTTGGGACTTTGTATGCAGCACTGAGATTTTATACAGCCAAACAAAAGAAAACAAAAATAAGTGTACCAATTTTATTGTATATACACACACATCATAAACATATGTGCCCTATGGGCAATTTTTACATGGGCGTCTTGTATAGTGTTCTGTGGTAGGCAACAATATTGTCACACAATGAGCAAACTGTCAATTGCAAAAGTAATCTATCTGATAAGATGTAGTAGTTTTTGTTGTGGGGTGTATTCATTTTTGCATCAACTAATTTGAGTGAAACTGAAGATTTTGTAATCTAAGTTATATTATTAACCTTACTTTCATGTAATGAGCTAAACAAATGTTCTATAAAACTCAGTTTTGTCAAAAGTTTGGAAAATTGTTCATTGAGATATTGATTCAAATCTTACTTTTCAAAAGGGGTGTACTCATTTATGCTGAGAGCTGTATAAATATTCCAGAAAGATAGTTACACGAAAACAGTATATTCCAAATTCAGGTTCATAATAAGTATTTATAATAAGTATTTATAATAACACATTGTTGGACAAATAGCCATAATATATGAATAAAATGTAAACAGGCATACATTTACATGACATACATCCAGGGGTGGACTGACCATTCGAGCACTCGGGCACTGCCCGAGGGCCCTTGGTCAGTAGGGGCCCCCATGAAATTCCCCTGGTACCTTTTTGGGTGTTTTTTGAGTGTGGGCAAGGACAGAGGGGCCCAATGATCCTCTATTGCCGGGGGTCCCATGAGTTGTCAGTCCGCCTCTGCATACATCTTTAGAATAACAGTAACTTTACAATCTGAATCACATTCACACATATACTTCAGAGTGTAAACTAACTCCGATACTAAATATATAAAGATAGTATATACTGCTGTACAGTGTTATGTATGCCTATATTATATGTATATCATTCATATATTATGGCTTTCTGCTCTACAAATAATGTTTATATTATTATAAATAATTTATGAACCCAATTTTGGAACTTACAGTTGTATAATGTACAACGTAACTAACTTTCAGATGGATTGTTTTTGCACACTTGCACATCATGTCATCGCCTGTACTATGTCCCAGTCTCTGGTCATCCCCCTGTACGTCTGTCTGCAGTCTCTGAAATGGTCATTGTCTCCTCATAATGTAATGTTCCGCAGTCTCTGGTCATCTCCTGTACTGTGTCCGCAATCTCTGGTCATCTCCTATACTATGTCCGCAGTCTGGTCATTATCCCTTGTACTGTGTCCGCAGTCTCTGGTCATCCCTATACTATGTCCGCAGTCTCTGGTCATCTCCTGTACTGTGTCCGCAGTCTCTTATCATCTCCTGCACTGTGCCCGCAGTCTCTGGTCATCCCCTGTACTGTGTCCGCAGTCCCTGGTCATCTCCTGTACTATGTCCGCAGACTCTAGTCATCTCCTGTACTATGTCCGCAGTCTCTGGTCATCGCCTGTACTATGTCCACAGTCTCTGGTCATCTCCCTGTACTGTGTCCGCAGTCTCTGGTCATCTCCTGTACTGTGTCCGCAGTCTCTGGTCATCCCTGTACTGTGTCTGCAGTCCATTGGTTCAGAATATTCTTTTTCTTGTTTTTCTCCTCTAAAACCTAGGCGTCGTCTTATGGTCCAGGTGCTTCTTATGGAGCGAAAAATACGGTATTTACCAAAACATATTCAAACTATAATGGATATGGGGCTGAAATTGCACACTCAACAGGTTTAATTTGAACATATGTACATCCAAATAAGAGGAAGGGTTTAGGAATTTACAGCTCTTAAGAGTAGCCATCCCCCCTTTTTCAAGGGGACCAAAAGTAATTGGACGATTGAATCAAAAGCTGTTTCATGGTCAGGTGTGGGCTATTTCCTGGAGTTGATTCTAAGTGTGGTATTTGCATTTGGAATCTATTGCTGTGAACCTACATCATGCATTCAAATAAGCATTCCATGCAGTCCATGCAAGTGAAACAGGCAATTGTAAGGCTTCAAAAATTAAACAAATCCATTAGAGAGACAGCATCAACATTAGGAGTGGTCAAATCAACAGTTTGGTCCATTCTGAAGAAAGAAGAAAGCACTGGTGAGCTCAGCAACATAAAAAGGCATGGAAGTCCTTGGAAGATAACAGTGGTGGATAATCGCAGGATTCTCTCTATGTTAAATAAAAACCCATTCACAACATCCAGACAAGTGAAGGACACTCTCCAGGAGGTGGGCGTTTCATTGTCAATGTTTACAAGAGAAGACTTCACGAGAGCAAATACAGTGGGTTCACCACAAGGTGCAAACCATTCATAAGCCTGAAGAATAGAAAAAACAGATTCGCCAAAAAACATCTAAAAAAACCAGACCAGTTCTGGAAAAGCATTCTTTGGATAGATGAAACTAAGATTAATCTGTACCAGAATGACGGGAAGAAAAAAGCGTGGAGCAGACTTGGAACAGCTCGTGATCCAAAGCACACGTCATGGTGGAGGCAACTTGATGGCAGGGGCATGCATGGCTTCCAATGGCATTTGATCATTGGTGTTTATTGATGATGTGACAGAAGACAGAAGCAGCTGGATGAATTCTGCAGTGTTTAGAGAGATAATATCAGCCCAGATTCAGCCAATTGCAGCAAAGTTGGTTGGACGGCACTTCACAGTACATATGGACAATGATCCATAACACACTGCAAAAGCAACCCAGGAGCATTTGAAGGAAAAGCAGTGGAATATTCTGCAATGCCTGAGTCAAGCACCTGATCTCAACCCAATTGAGCATGC